GAAAATATGAAGATAGGGAATACAGACATTAAAGTAAGAAGACGTGAAGTCAATATTTTGGATTAATTAAGTGTAACTGTGTGTGAATAGAAATGCAGGGACTATATATGCCTGATATATCTTTTATGGAAGAAAAGTGCCATATTACTTCCTCGTTAGTCATTTTGATTACATGTTTGAAGTTAGTTTTAAAATATTTTTTTTTTTAAATATTAACTTTAAACTTAACTTAATTTAACGAAATCGTTTATAAAATTTATATTTATTTATATATTATAAATTAACTTTGTATCTAGTTAATAATGTGTTAACATAAAACTTCCAAATAAAATGTTAGTGAAACTTGTACAGACCAATGGTGAAAAAGAAATATGCACTGTAACGGGAGCTCCCAATATTTTACACGTGACTCTTGTGTCAATGATTGTTTAGGGTTGTATCGTTCGGTATCTCCACGTCCTCCTCTTCTCCTTCGTATATCCTGACCTCTGTACTCGATCCTCAACTTCCTTCCCAGTCCTAGGGTGAGAGACCTGCAAAAGATTCTCTGATGCTAAGGTCAGTTGTGAGCAATAGCTTTTCTCTATCGAATAGTAATAAATGTGCAGTAAATGCAACTTATCTACCACTCACCCTGGATCTGTATTTATAGTTTTCGCTATGGGCTTGGGATTAGTGAAAAGTTAATCACGGCCCTAATCAGCCCAATAGCTTTTAAACCCCTACTTGCCTTAAGCTAAGTTGATTAGTAACGCGGGCGGTCGTCCTCGCGGGTAACCGGCGAGTTGTTTTTCCCCAAGTGTCAAGCGGTAAGGTTGGATGATTATGGGCATACGGGCGTCCGGCCTACCATGCCCAACCCTTCCCAACAGTAAGTAGAAGGGTAGTCTCCTGGGTCCCATACGGTGACGTGGGCGTCCGGTCCGTTTGATGGTCCAATGACGTGGGTGTCCGTCCCGTACGGCGCCCGGTCCCTGTTGATACAATGATGCTTATGTTTTATCTAAATACAATGTTTTGATTTCAAGTTTGTTGACACATAGTTAGAGTTAATCATAAAATATTCTTCATTTTGAAAATTAGAGTTTTGTTATAGTTTTTTCAATAATACAAAAGAAGAAGAATTTAAACTTCATTTGATCTCAATTTTTAAGTAATGTATGACTATTGAGTATATGGAATAAACTCTCCAATCAAGGATAACGGGAGTTTTTGTCCCTACATACAATGGTAATGCTTCGATCTCAAGACTATTAAGACATCGTTATGATCAATAATCGCATTTCCGAAATATTGTCAATTTTTAAGACTAAAGTTTTGTCACAATTATGTGCTTAAAAGAACATGAATTACTTAGATAGTAACACAAACAAAAGCCTACAAACGTGTCACCCAACCTAAATGGTAATATAAATCCACAAACGTAGCATTTGAGTTACCTAGATAATAATAGAAGTTAAACCCAAAAATATAACACTAGAGTTACTTAATTCAACTAATTACTTATCATTTAAATAATAATACAATAGTTAGTAATAATAAAATGATAATTCATTATAAATAATAACCATAATACTAAACTATCCAAATTAGTTATAATATATGTGAATTTTGTTTAAATTAATGTAAGTTTGAACTATTCCAAAATAAAAAGACTTAATAAATCTTACTTTAGTCTGTTTACTAGATCAAATAAGAACAAATCCTAAACAGATTGAATTTAACTTAAAAAAATAAAGTTAAACTTATTATGTGGTTAAATAATCCTTCATATCTAAGTATTAATTCGACTTGTTATTGTATGTAAAAAGTCTTTATTGTTTAAAAATTATAGGTTATTCATTGTAATTAGTTTATTTTATATATTTAATTCCTGTAATACTAATAGTAAACTTATATTAAAACAAAACTTAAAACATAATAATTTTAATATATTTTTGGTTATTTTATTAAATTTGTATTGAAATTAGCTTTATATAATAATAAACTTAAACTCTTTCTTTTTTACATTTTTGGCAAGCCAGTTCAAAGATCCATTTTTTTACGAAGTAGACTGAACTCTCATGTTTTATCACTCTTACTATATATGTGTCCACTAAGAAAACTTCCACTGCTTTCTTGATAGGAACCGTATGATAACGAATCTCACAACAAAAACAAAAATTAAGCAAATTATATTAAAATCAAATTAAATGGGAACTCTTTAATATCTTAATAATCTCTTTCAATTTGCTGTAAACCAATCCACATAAAAAAATAATGAAAATTAGACTATTTTCCTATTACTAATTTAATTGTTATAAAAATGAACGTGACGAGCTATATAAAACAATTTACGATATATTTGATTACCTTATGTAAGCTGATTAAATTTTAATATAAATATTATATTTCCTTTTCATTGTAATTAATTATTAATATTTTTCATTTGCAGTCATCTTTAATAAAAAAAATCACCAGAGTTAAAAGATAATTAAAAAGGTTAAAACTACAAATACTAGAGACATTATGATTTTGTCCGCAAAACAAAAAAAAACAAAAAATATATTAAATCATTTTATGTGAGAAGTAAAAATAGTGACATGACATCAGTAACCTAATTAACTTTTAATATGTGTAGGTGACCCATCTTAGAGTGATTATGGATGAGACCGAAGAATGGATGTGACATTTCATTAGTAAAATCAAAGGTTTTCTTGCCAGCACAAATCAACGTTAGAATATGTATAAAGTAACATTTTTACTGTTTCAATTGCGTCCCATGTTTATCCAAATTTGCATCGTGAAATCGTTAATATTTGGTCCAAGATAAGGTCTGTATCATTTGTCAAACGTTGTTTTTCAAATTTTCAATTAGCCCAAGAATGTTTCTTATGTTCTAGATGTGTTTTCTTTTATATTAATTAACTTATTTATAAGTCTTAGAGATGGTTACTGGCATCACCGTTGAGTGGTACAAACATACTTTGCGTCTTTGAACTGAATTCTGAGATAGGGAAAACACGTTGCCGCTTATCGTTCCATTGCTGTAACCAATCAAATTCGAGAAACATATTCTCTTCTGTGTCTTTGTCTAGATATTTAAAGTCAAACTATAGATGCATACACAGAGAAAAAGACGGTCCTATAAAAATGTTATATATAAAGTCAGAAACAATATTGATAATTAAAATTATACCTAATAAAACAATATTTATTAGTTTTTCTTATTATACCTAATAAAACAATATTATATTTCATAATTCCCAAAAAAAATAATATTAAAATACTAATACAAAACGAAACCGGAGAGTTAATACTATTTATCGAGCATTTTTTTTCATCTACGACCACACATCATAGGTTTGCTGGCACCGTTTATGCCAACCTGTATCACTAGCCATACACGTGTTTAAGTTAATATGTGGGTCCCATTATTTTATATGATCGTGATTATTTATGTAAAATTTTGTTAAAATTAAATAATAATGACATAATGATTAAATAATTTATATTTTAATATACTATAAATATATAATATATGAAAAAAATCAAATATTTTAAAATTAATATAAAATTTTGTATATGTAATTTATGTTAAATAGACTTTTAATTTTAACATAAGTTTTTTTAAAAAAGTAATCAATAGTTGTATAAGAATTAATGAAAACTACACTGATATTATGATATAGCTGGGGCTGAAAAAGATGGGCTCGTTTTGAGCGCCTCACTTTCTTTGTAACTATTTTTGGTATAGTAGCTTCTTCCTGCACCTCCCTGTTTTGTACGTGTACCTCGTTGGAGTGGTGAAATGTGTCTCCTGTGCTCTGTAATTAAGATGTAATACAAAATTACATCTTATTATAAAAAGAATGAAATTTTTTCCATTGTCAAGGATTAATTGAATTATGCATGCATGTTTACACTTAATATGATCTTTACTTAATCTTATTAAAAATGCTTACACAATCTAAGGTAATGGTAGAACACTGGAAAATTCAATGCATTTATTTTGCATTTTACATATTCTACTAAATTTTATGAGACATTTTTGGAATGCAGGAAGGAAAAAAAAATCATATACCGACATGATTATGTAATTATTTTTCTAAAAACAATTAAATTTGTTTTCCTATAGTTGAATAATTTTTAGTTAACGAATTACTGTTTTCAAAATTTAGATTAAATTAATGGAAAAAATGTAGTTTAAATTTATTTTATTTTAATCTAAATTATTTAGAGATTTAAAAAGGCTTAAAAGCAAATTAAAATAAATTTTAAAAATAAAAAAACAAAGTAAGAAATAAATTGGAGAAGAAACGGTTTCTCTTTCGTAAAAGTTTGAAAAATTGACAAAATAAGATAAGGAATTTCCTTTCAACAGAGATAATTTATTTAAATGAATAAAAAGAACCTGTATATGAAAAAAACTAAGTATTTATGTGCTGTTGTACTTTGGCCCATTCAGTTTCTATTTGCAGTCCCCTAATTACTGTTAGACTCTCTTTTCTATATTTTTTTTCTCTCCAAGTATTATTCCTGGCTCTTCTAGGTCTCAAATTCCACACCCAAAATATAAAATAAAATAAAACGAAAACTTATATGACTTTTAAGAGTTTCCATTATTGCTCACGTATGTTTAAACCACAAATGCAAAATAAAATGTAAAAACAACAAAAAATAGTAACTGACCAAATAACTTTTTTTTTGTACATATTAAATTTAAAAAATCTTTCATTTAAATATTTTGGTATTGAGCATAAATATTTAGTTATTTCTTTAAAAGTTGAAAGTAGATGATTTTAAAATTTCTGAAAAATTTAGACCCGATCTATCCAATAAACTTAGAATATTTAATGGTCGAATTACTAAAATTTAATATATATTTAATTTCGGATAAACGGAATATTTTTTGAAAACATTCTACTAATAATTTATTCCTCAGCCTAAAATAATAATTAAAATTAATTATTTTGAGATGAGAAGGAAAATAAAATTAATAAAATAAGGGGGTTTGGAATTGAAGATTATTTGAGGTGGGGAAGGAGGGTAAGAATAGTTTTATTTATAATTACAGTATTACACATTACAAGAATTACACAAACAGGGCCAGAAAAGCCTTGAACTTAAATGATGTACACTGATGTAACTCTGATACCTCAACTCAATAATCCACACACTATTTCATATGCTCCTCAACGCTAACCTTAACACTATTCTGCTGTGTTCTATGCCACAAATGTAGTTTCAGAGTTCCATACACAGCAAAATGTGCACAACAACGGCTTCACCACAAATGGCAAACCAGATCATCTTAGAGAAAAATCATCATTCTCTTTTCCTCAGTTGTCTCAGTCAATCAAACACATCTAATCTACATCTTTCGATGCAAGCGATTCGGGCTCAACACGTTTCGAGAACCGATGCTTGCAGTTCTTAAAAGTCTGCGGAATTCTGGTAAGCTGATCTTTCCATCTTTATCAATGTCGGCTTCCTCAAGCAATGGATCAATGGACCCTCTCAAACCCGTGTGCTGAAAAACCAATAAACCATATCAGTTGCTAGCAGAAAATATGTAAAAGTATAAACTTTGATGAATGATTAAAAACTTATTTAATTATTTTATTGCAGGGCTACTATTTACTATTTTTTAAGGACAATCTATCGTAAAAAAATGTTCAGGGTGCTTGAGAATAGACACGAGACTGACCATTCTAAGTTCATCTGGAGTAATGTAGCCATCCTTGTCCAAGTCAAATTTCTCAAAAGCAGCTTGTGACCGTTGCTGCCACTTAAAAGAATCATGTTCCTCCAACTGATGTACATGTAATGTAGCTGCTACAAACTCGGAGAAATCCACTAGCCCGTCTGTGTTGCTGTCTATCTGCCGGCACACAACAAAAAGCCACAACGGTGAATAAGAATGATTAGGGGAATCAAATCTATTGTCTCATTAAAAACATACAAAATATTTTGGAAAAAGAGAGAATCCTGTACTGTATATTTTAGAAAGTGAAATTCTCACTTTTCTTTCTCAAGTAAGGATTCTTAACACTCTTTTCTCTACTTCAGAAGTACACTTCATACACTATCCTTAAAGCTAGATAAAGAATATCTCTCAGTGTCTGAAATTAAAAGTATTTATCCTTTGTACTGCATATACTAATTAAACACCCAAGAAACTCCATGTTTCATATTTTTAATCAAAAAATGGCTGAAAAGTAACCAGCAAAAATGTGGTGCCTGCAGAGGATCGTCAGAGATACTAACCGCTTGTAATATCTCTAGCACACGTGATTCTTTCAATTTCCAAGGGAGATCTTGAGCAAGAGCCTGCACAAAGTATGGCCTTTAGATCAAAGCAGGGAAAACTATATTTAAGGGGTTGATTGCTCAGCAATTGATAAGTAAAGTGTGTGGATTTAATATATTCAGAAAGAAGTTGATTAATGAGTTACCTGTCTCATCTCTTCAAGACTGATAGAACCATTTTTGTCCACGTCTATTGCATCAAACTGATCTTTCAGATCAGACAACTCTTCTTCATTAAGTGTGCTCGCCAATGCCTGCACGATAATCAAGTAACAAAAAATTGGCATCAAACAAGTTCCATTGCTTATAACATGCAAAGGTTTGAATTAATTTGTCCTTTCTCACCCTTAGTGCAAACTGTTTCAACCGACTATACTTCACAAACTGTCGCATGTTGTTCAGGACAGATATGTCAATAGGAATCTCTAATGCCTCTCCCCCTTCTCTAACCCATGGATGTGCTGGAAATATAAGAATTCGTGGATGCAACACAACATTAGGTATGACTTTGGTTTAGATATGTTTAGATAAAGGGGAAAAGTATACAATTAGAATACAGTTTGAATCCAAATTATTAGATCAAGAAAACTCTGTATGGAAACAAAATTAAGCATAATTGCTAAGCAAATTCGGAAACTGAAAAATCTATGAAAAGCTGATGCGTTACTGATTCGGTAAACCAAGCTTGACCGAACAAGTAACAGAGTTGAGCAGCTCTAGCTATTTCATAACATGTAAAGACTGTAGGCTACTCACAAATTTTGAAAATGACTATTTAATTACTGCCATTTAGATAACCAGTTTACCTATTGCAAATTTACTTTGTCACTGTTGCATACATGCACAGTGAATTTACATGGTGCAACGACAAGATTGACAAAAGAAAATAAAGACTATGTGGGCTGCAGGCTGACCAACCCTGCCCCGTCGTTGGCCCGGGCGGGTTGGCAGACTCAAATAAACATTTTGCTGTGTTTTTTCTGTGTGGGTTAGCGGCCAGCTTGCATGGTCCGTCCTGCTTTGCCATCTCTAAAGATGCTGCCTTTTGACCTAGAGGTCATAGCTTCAAATCCTAGAAACAACCTCACTACTTGTGGAGGTAAGAGTAAGTGCATTTACCCTCTCAAAGCACCATAACTGAGAGTCTCTTGCACTGGGACACCCCACTTGTTGCCTGCTTGCAGTAATGGTTATGTCCCTCCTTTCTTCTTTTTTCAAGATAACTTTACTGGTCTTTTTGGTATATTTGCAATCAATTGTGTAGTATATTTTTCTTTGTCGTGTACTTCTTTTTCTCTTCGAATTTGTTCATCAACTTTTCTTTTGTACTTCAGTAATTTATTGAATTAAATTCGATTTTATTTAAACAAACATCATTTTGATTGAACGACAAATTGGTCTCGAGTGGTAAGAAAAAAAAATTAAACTTTTGAAATGTGGACATGATCGAAAGTCTAAAATGAGAGCAATTTTTGCAATATGCATAGCTTCAATATTTGCCATCATTAAAACTGAAATTTTTTATTTGTTAGGGAAGAAAATCAGCACTTAAACTCAATGTTGATGAACAGCATTCCAAATTATATAAATTCAGTGTTTAAACTCAAAGAATTATTGAAGGCTCGAAAATTTGAGGCAGTGATAAAGCAGTAATTAGTTAGAGGAAAGGCAACTAGATAACATAATAAACAGCCTTCTCATGAAAAGAAATCAGTTGGATACGTACATAGAGCCTGAGCAGCAGTATATCTTGCACGGGGATCTTTTACCAACAATTTTTTCACAAAATCTTTTGCACCATTGCTTATGGTTGGCCATGGTTTCCGCCGAAAATCAGGCTTGTTCCGTAAGACCTGAATGTAACAAGATTATAAATTAAATGTAATATCAAAAGATTTTCAAATTCTTAATTAAAGGTATGAATGTAAAGGCCAAACATTTATTCTTGTTTCTAAAGAAACAAGAATAGATCAAAATCTCACATAAATTACAGGAGATTCATGTCATAAAATGAAATATACCTCCTTGAAGATACCATCCTCTGTCTTATCCCAAAATGGACGTCTCCCACAAAGCAATATGTATGTAATCACACCAATACTCCATACATCTGACTCAGGACCTGACTTTCGTTTTAACACTTCTGGTGCAACATAGTAAGCACTGCCAACAATGTCTTGAAACCTCTTCCCTGTTCTCAAAGAGAGAAAAATATAACTCCCAAATAAAGATTGCCAGAACAAGTTGAATGCAAAGGGGGATAAATAAATTTTTAGTTCAAATAATTTTGCTCACCAGGCTTTATGAAATCAGACAAACCAAAATCGGTAGCTTTTAAAGGTGAATCTTCTCTGGTTGATTTCAAAAGAAAATTCTGCTTGCAAGGAGGAAAAAATTTTAATATATAGTAGCACATACAACTCCATATTACTTAGACATGCCAGAAACTTGAACACACCTCTGGTTTCATGTCCCGATGAACCAACCCATGTAAATGACACTCAGCCGCAACCTTAAGCATCTGCCTTACAACCACAGCTGCATCTTTTTCAGTATAACGACTGTCCTTCCTGATAAACAAGATGGCAGACAGAGTCAAGTTCCACGACAAGAAAATACAAATACTTGGAGGTATTAGGGATCATGGCTCTGAGATTTGAGAAATGTAAACAGTCAGGATCCATTCAGACCCGGGTGCGGGGGATGGGGATCACATTGGGAAACTTACTTGGCCAATATCCGATCTAGCAGTTCTCCACCCTCACATAACCTAAGATGGAAATTGTGATAAAGTTCATGTTGTTAATAACATTGATGTATACATAAAAGAACATAAGAAAACAATACAAAGGATTCGATGTATCAGCTCCCAAAAGATATACCCTGAGTATATTGCAGTTAAGTAATGCCCAAAATCATATGAAAACAATGAAACAGCATAAAAAAGAGACTGAACACAAAAGCAACTTACTCCATAACTATGTACACGTATGAATCATCCTCAAAAGCATTGTAGAACTGAACCACATTTTCATGGCCTGTAAGTTCTTTCAATATCTTGACTTCACGCTTAACATCCTCAACCGCTATAGGGAGAACCATCTGCCATCAAATTCTAGGAATGTTTCAGGATCACACGAAACCTCATATTATAACAAATTGGAACATAAATGAGAAGAAAACTCCAGAAAGCGCTCAGAGTAAAACTTCGGAACACAAAACACATATTTCGCATATATTAAAAACAATTGCAGGCATCGCCAACGCTACCCAGATTCATTATTACCCCGCTGCTCTTTTATTTGTAGCGGAAACGGATCAGGATGTGGATTTTCACATCACAATCAGCCCTAACTAGTTCTACCTTAGTAGTTTTTCACATCTTTGCTGTAGAACGTGTAACACGCTCAAATTCAAACTATTCCGTATGACTTTAATTAGTTCTATCATGACCTTTCAAGAGGATGCTGCCACATAACGGTGAGCTAAAGTTAAAGATAAAACTGAATTATCAATAACTTGTGAACCTTCCTTCTTCAAAGAAGAGGGTCAAAATAAAAAAAACCAAGTTGCTTAATTTACAAATTGCAGAAAAAAGAATAACTAATCAACCTTCTCGTGGTAGAGAAAAATCGGGCATAAAAACTTCAACCTCGAAATCAGAAATTCGAGCTAGTCGAGGTCAACGACGAACAAAATAAGATGCACTGGGGAATCAGCAGAATTCCAGAAACGCCTGTTCAATTAAATACTGTAACTAAAGCTCATCATTATCCCATATTCCAAATGAATATACCAATCTCCAGAACCAAAATAAGTAGTATCTCCGCGAAACAAAAAAAAAAATCATAATTCACCCTGACCCATCAACTAAAATTGGAAAAAGAACATAAATTGATTTCCATTAGGATGTAACAATCACAAAATAATCTAAATTGGGTTTCCTGTATCCGCGGAAGAACAAAATAAACGACACCGAATACCTTGTTCTTCTCGAGTCTCTTAACGGCGACACGATCCCCATTTGCTTTGTCTATCCCAACGTAAGTGTAACCGAATTGGCCGTGTCCCAACAACTTCCCGAGCGAGAATCTCTTGTCAAAGTCTTTCTCGTATCCAAAATCCGTGCGCTTTCCGCAAGGCAGCGTCCCCCCCGGGCGACGCCCGTTCGCTTTCTCCTTGGTGCGTGGGGGCTTCCGCGATTCTTCGCGCCGCCGTTGACCATGCGACGACTGTTGCTTATGCTCCGCGGGCTCCCCCTGCGCAGCCACGGGCTCCGAGCATTTGCGGTTGCGATTGGAAGCACCAGCGTTGTTGCTGCTGGAGCCGCTGACCTTGGTGCTTGAAAAACAGATGCCCATTATGGAAGAATGGCAGAGAGATGAGAGGAAGAATGAGAAGATGTTACCATTCACTGGTTGATTAGCATAGAGAGATATACAGAGAGAAAGAGAATTTAGAGGTTTATGCGTAGAGTGGATGGTTGTGTGCGTGAAAGAAAGAGAAATAGGAGAAAGGAAAGAAGGAAGCAGGGAGGAGGAAGAAGGGTAGAAGGTGGAAGGTGGTGGTGGTCAAAAGAGACTTTTGAATGAAAAAATGAGAGAGAGAGAGAGAGAGAGAGGAACAGAAAGAATGGCCTTCCCCAAACCAAAATTACTTCCAATAATTCCTTCCCATTGGGAATTGTAAATTTTATTTTTTATTTCTTCATTCTTCAACTTAGCTGTCACTTCTCCTTGTTAGCCTTTTTTTTCTTTTTCTTTTTGCTTTTATAAACACCTTAAACTTTGTTTCCATTCTTAACTCATTTTCTACATGTTTCATTTATTTTAAGGTTTAGCTCCTAAATTTTGATTCAGGATCTGATCTCATAACCTTGTTTTGGGTTGGAAGCTACTTAAAGAGTTACAAGATTTTTAATATTTATTATCAATATCAAAATAGATTCATAACTACATTTTAGGAATCCCAAATCCACCTCTTAAGGAATTGTGTCCCTTTTCTCAATTTTTTTAGAAGGTAGTTGTTTGAAATAAATAAAAAGTATGTTTAGTAAAAGCTATCCAACAAACNTTTTGCCCAAATTAATAATTTTAAATTAAAAAAATCCTAATTTTCTAATTCGTTTATTTAAAAGTTAATTTAATAAATTCATTTTAATTAAAACATAATACTAAAATATCAAATTTCACTTAAAATTTAAAAATCATAAAATGGCATCCTAAGACCATAATTTCACCTGTTACTATTTTGTCAAGTCTTATTAATTTTTTTTAAAGTATATGTGAAAATAATGTCTTATGTAGCTATAGGGTTTCTTCCCTTATATGTACTTACAAAATAAGCCAACCACCAAGAAAAAAACCAAGAGCTACATGCCAGTAACAAATCTATTTAATAAGCTGGAGTTTTCTAATGATCTGTCAAACAACAACTTGCCCTCATTTAAATTAAAAAATAATTAAACATTTTGGAGTGGCAACAATTAACAAAACAATAGTTTAACGATGATACAAGTAAAATACTTTACAGCTAACTATTGTGTAGTTTCTTAAAGTAACTATTATAAAAAGTATAAGATCACCATATAGTGATTTATAATTAAGAAAAATATAAAAATATTTATATTGATAGTGCATAATATTTTTTGATAAAGTAATAATCCTAAAAATTTAGGGTATAGAGGATCTAGCTAACAATCCGGTGAGTCGTGTTGTATATTAGTGGACCCTGAGATGCAACTAAAGATTATACTTTAAATTAGATTCGAAAAGAAAAAATAGTTTATGTAAAGTAGATTTAAAATGTCAAAAGATGACTTAGAAATGGTTCATGGACAAGAAATATATTCTCCATTATTGATTGCTATGGAAATATTTATAGTTTATTTATGATAAAGTACGATCTAGTTGTGATGATAGATACTTTGGAGCAAAATTCAATGGTTTGAGACCCAAATTTACGTTTGATTTCGTAAAATAATGGTTTAATTAGGTGCGGCGGGTTAAATTGCATTATTGCCAAACACGGTGGCACTGCCCGTAATCTCCATCTTCTTAAAGTTGAAGTAAACTTAACGTGCTATTCAAATAACAGTGTCAGCTTCTAAATGATGATTATTATCATTGCTTTACACATTCTCATGGTGGCCCAAAAGTTCCTCTTTCTACACACCATGCAAATTTCCGACTTTATTTTCTTTTCTTTCTTTTAATTGTTCTCCTATATAATCCATCACGAATGTCAGATTTACAATTCAAATTTCATTTAATCTATCTGTACTTAATACTATATAACGTACATTCACGAAAGTACGGTACGTATCATATATTATAAATAATTGAAATCTTAAGTTCCCAAAATCATAAACACAATCATAGATATTTCACTAAATTACTAAGAAAACTTTAAATAATCTCTCTAATTCTCATCAGCTGGTTACTAATACTTAACCATATATATATATATATATATATATATATATATATATATATATATATGAATTTGCTAACTTACACAATCTCTTAAAATGTATTAAATTTTAGTTGACAAAAATATCATAATATAATTATAAGTTTTAAAGTTAAGGAATTTGAATAATTTTTAATTTTTTATTTATTTTTTAAAATTAAAAATAAAAATTGTTAAAATAACCATATGTTAAAAGTATGTCTTTTCTCTGTTTATTTGCCTTAATATTTCTTGATTATTTTGAGAAAACTACATTATGATTTCCTAATTATTTTTCTCATGTAAAGATTATTACTATTGCTAATGTACACTCCATTTGACAATCTTATATTTTAATTGATTACCAGTTCCTCTTAATTTAATATCCAATAAATCATGCCAAAGGTTAAAATACTAATAAATACACTAATGTTGACCAAGTCTTACTCTTAAAAATAAACAATATTCACTGTTGGTTGGTGTCCTGGGTCCTTAACGTTGTTCTTTTCTGACATTTTCATTTCTCTACACTATTTATTATCACATGACATTGACACAAATTTAATATGATTTTACTTTATAATAATTTTATCTACTTATATGTCGTTTAAATCTGTATAAGATTAACAAAACAATCTACAATTTAAGTATTTAACTTTAACTTATGAATTCAAATTACTAATTTATCAGTTAAGAAATTCACATAGCTTGTTAATATTAATTATAAATCATTGTCACGAAAGCTACAAATTATTTAAATAACATGAAGTGCAAGTATTAAATGCGAGAATGCTATTCTTCAAAGAAACAAAATCTCATACGCCAACCAAATCTAAAAGTAACTCTTGCAGATAAATATATCTGTTTTTATATTTTACTATAGTTAATACTAATTACCATAATTAACTTATAGCTAGTCATTTGTTAGACTTATGATGTAACATATTTCTCAGTACACGTTCTTAGTCAAAATTGAGTCATTGTGAATCCAGGTAGAAAATACTGCAAAGAGCATTAGTACGTAAACGATATTTTTATAATAAAAATGCATACACACACAATTTTGTGACAAAAAAGGGTAGTGGTGAATATTAACATAATTGGTAAAAAAAAAACTTATTAGTACGCTTTTATACTTAAAGGAAAGGAAATTTATTTATATTATAGATATTAACTCCAAGAATACTTATAAAAATATACTTATTATAATGAACATACTTATAAGTATTCTATAAATATCTATAATGAACATACTTATAAATATACTTATAATATTCTATAAGATATTATAGAATATACTTATAAAAATATTTAAAGTTATTAAATTAGCATTACATATATCGTAATAATGAAGATATATAGATTAAAATTTGAGAAGATAAAAAAGATAAGAATATGGATTATTATTCATGTTGTGTATTGACTGTGTTATGTTAGCAATAGATGAGAAAGAACATTGAGAAGAGTGTGCATTGGGTTGATTGAATTTAGGATATTGTTGTGTGAGTATTTATATATATACCCCTCACAACCAATCAATTATTTATCTATTCTCAAATTTAATTTAATAAGAAATTAGACTTTGACTTCATCACTTGACTGTGGTTTTCCACTGAACTGTGTCTTATTAGGATGCTTCAATTTGAGACAACGCGTGGACTACAAAATTCAAAGATTCCACTCGGACTCAGACTCTAAGCAACTGAAATTAATATACTACAATTTAATTGAACTTGGACTAACCCTAATAAAATCGTCAAACAAACCCAAAGAAAATTTTGTATTTTTTAAAAACAAAACAAATAAGATCCTTCACACCTATTATATGCATAGGTGCTAGATATAAAGAAAATTAATGGTGTGGATGATTATAATGTGAGAATATTAGATATAATAAAAAAAATATTCAAATTATTTATTTTAATTCTTAAATAATGTGAGATTATTAGATATAATAAAACAAATTGAATAACACTTGTAAGTATGCCTAATCAATAGAGAGTATTAACATGACTGAAGTTTTAAAGTTATTTGTTATACTTAAATGCAGGTTTAGACATCAATGTCTATCACTGTGAATCATTATGTTTAGTTGATATCACTACGTACACAGACATGTGAATGTAAAAGTACATGGTTATAAAGGTAAAAGGTCAAATACATTCTTGAAAGTGTTTAACATTATTATTATTTTTTTCCTTTGAAAAAGTATAATTGTTAAGAAAATCTGTAAATATAAAAAAAGTTGATCAATTAATTGTGATGTTAAAAAAGTTTATTTAAACAATCTTTAAACATACGAGACACTAACATGTACATATGTACACATGTTTCTTCCATTGGCATAAGTCATTAAATGTCCTTTTACACTAAATTATTAACAAACAAAAAATTAAACTTCTCTTTTTTGGTTTAGTGAACACTATACACTTTCAATTAATATGTTTTATTTATTTTTATTATTATTTACTTATTCTTCGTATTCAATGAACTAATAAACATACCTTTTTTTATTATTCTCTTGATTTTGTAATTAAGTTATATGATTTTTGTTAAGTGAGTATTGATTCTAAGTGGGAAAAGAGGACATGGAAGAAACAAAAAATGTGTATAGTGTGATGCAATATGAATATCTTCATTTAGGTTTTGAGAAGTGGGATACAATTTTTTTTTCACTATATTAGTGTAATTTTAAAAAAAAGTTATAATAATGGTAAATTTTTAAAAAGTTACATGAACAACTTGTGATTGTAAAACTAGATTTATTGTGAAAAGATTTCATGTATGCAAGATTTGTAACTCATTCGATTCCTTTATCTGATGAAAAAAAATGATTTGTTTAAACATTTTGATAAACTCCACATGCTTTGCATAAGTGTGAAAAATAAAAAATTTCATGTAATCAAATGTCTTGCCAAATACAAATCTCACTGTTAGCATACTCCAAGATTTCATTACGCGTAAATTGACTCCTGTAGATTATAACGAAATTAATAAAAAAAAAATAAAAGAAAAAGACATCTGCATATGTTAGAGACAACACTTTTCCAAAGCATTAACACTTAAATGCAAAAGGCAAACATTAACACTTAAATGCGAAAGCCTAATTTGCTTTCTCCTTCAACAACTAACAACTAACAGAA